CACCCCCCCCCGGTCCATCTCCTCCCCCTGCTACTGGGCTCCAGCGCAGGTGCCCCGGTCCAGGGCGGCGCTCCCCCGCAGGCCGAGCGGGGCTGGCACCGGCACCGGCTCTGGGACGGCCCCCGCCCTCCAAGCCCGTGGGGGAGCGAGGTACCGCAGACCCGCGCCGAGAGGACAGAGACTTTCCATGTGCCTTTAATGAACCCAGCGGGGAGTCACAGGCGCCGGCCCCGTGCGGGGCAGCGGGGGACACGACGCGAGCCGGGGTCCGGGCAGGAGGGCCCTGGGGGCAGCACAGAGGGGGTCCCTAAGTCCTCAGGCCCCCTAGGCCCCCCGACTGCAGCTCTCCACGCTCGGCCTCCCGCCTCCGCCCCCACGTCCACAGCTGCCAGCACCTTCCCGCTGTGCCCGGCTGCCCCCGGGCCCGCGGCCGCGGCAGCAGGGATATTTGGCAGCCCGGGGCTGCCCCACGGGGAGCTGGGCTGCCGCCTTGCCGTTCCTCTGCTGGGCAGGGGGAGCGGGATCTCCGCGCGCTCTGGCAGCGCCGCTGCTGCCAAGGGGTGGCTGTGAGCAGACCCACGGGAGTGCCAGCCGGGGGCCCCGCCAGTAGACACTTGTGCAGGACAGGCTCCAGGGCCGGGAGCGGCGACACGACCCCCAGCCGTGCCGGCTCGCACCGTCTATCGTCCAACGGCCGGCCTACGCAGGACTCATCGCGCCTCGTGCCGTCACGGGGCCAGCCCCGGGCACAGCGTCCATCCTTGCGGGGCGGCCCCCTCCCTGGGTCGTCAGCGCGGGCGCTAGGCAGCCGCCTCCTGCAGCAGCAGGTTCTTGCGGTAGCAGGCGAGGCTGCAGAGCGGCAGGCCGGTGCGGGAGCAGGCGTAGCGCCGGGGGTTGGGGCAGCCACGCACGCCGCAGAGGGTGGGCAGGGGCGGGGCAGGCGCAGCGCAGGGCACCAGGGGCGAAGCGACACCAGGCGGGAAGCACAGAGCGGCACCGTCGGCGCGGCTGCAGTAGCGCACCATGGGACAGGGTGCGGGGCGGGCCCGGCGCTCCCGCAGCGCCGTCACCTTGGCCTTGCTGGTCTTGGTGAGGCGCTCGATGGTCTGGTTCTTGTTCTCCTCGGCCTTCTTGGCCGCCTGTAGGCGCCGCTTACGGGCCCGTTCCTCCCGCTTCACCAGCATCTCCTCGGTCAGCGCCTTGGCCTTGTAGCCCATGGGCAGCTCCAGCAGCGGCTGGCTCTGCTGCTTGTGCAGGAGCTCTTTCTGTGGGGCACAGGGTGGGGACGTCAGGCCAGTCCCAGGCCCCATTCAGCCCTGCCCAGCCCCCCTCCACCCAGTCCGGGCTCCCCCAGAGCCTGCCCAGGCCCCCTCCAGACCTGCCCAGGCCAGGCGAGACCAGCCACTTCGGGGCTGTGGGGGACTAGGGGCCTTTCCCCCACTAGTGGCAGGAAGAGCCAGGCATCAGCTCTGCAAGCAACTGCCTGCCCCCAGCCTTCCCAGAGTGCCTGGGATTTCAGGGCTGGGCCTGTCCCGAGGCAGGGAGCGGGCACAAGGAGCCAGCAGGTCCCGGCTGTGGTGATGGGCACAGCTCTAGAGCTGCTGCAGCTCCTTCCTGGACACAGTGCTGCTACTGGGGCCGGAGCCTGGGCCAGGGCCATGGGCTCTGCGCAACCCCAGAAGCAGCAGCACCCCCTTAGGACCCCCACTTCCCCTTTCTTGTGCACGTCAGACACCCCAGGGCACATTTGCTGGGGCAGGGGCAGTGCCTGCCAGCCCCAATGCCCCCCACCTCACCTGTCTGGCGGTGAGCAGGGACTCGTCCACCTCTTTCTTGAGCTCGCCATTGTCATCCAGCTCGCCCTTCTCCAGCGCATCCAGCCAGCGCTCCTCCTCCTCCTCCTCACGGGCGGGGAAGCAGCTCTCAGCGTCCAGGTCAGGCAGAGGAGAGGGCTCCAGGTTGCTGTCCTCATCTGGGTGGCCACCGCAGAGGGAACATCACAGCCTGCACTAGGCCTGTTCCTCACCCTCCCACCCCAGCCAGGCAACAGAAGTCCCACGGGGCCCATGTGGGGCCAGCTCTGTCCCTGCCCTGCTCCTTGGGGCAGACCCGTCTTCAGCTCCTAGCAGGGAAACCCCTAGGGTGGTGGCTGGGAGCTGTGCCCTGGCTCCACGTGTGGCAATCGCTGCCTCAACAGCCAGCCGGGGACACAAGGTACAAGGTCCCAGACCTGCCTACAGCGACTCTGGAACTACTGACATGAAGGAAAGCAGAGTGGCCACCTCCCAAAGATTCCCCACCCCAACCTCATCACCAGCCCCAGCCGGACCCCCCACCCTGCTCCTGCAGTCCCACAACTCACCCAGCCAGGCCCGGTACTGCTCAATGGGGACGCCCTCCATGGGCTCATCCTCATCATCCACCACCATGAGTGGGGAGGGGGAGCGCGGTGCCTCGGGGATCACCGTGAAGGTTGGCACGCTGAGGAGAGAGCAGGTGCCCAGTCACCCTCCTGGGGGGCAGAGAGCAGCACCCATGGGGAGGACTCTGACCCCAGGCCCAGCCGCAGCAATGGTGCTGCTTTGGAAGGCAGCAGGGCTGGGCTGTCCCAGGGAAGAAGGAAGACCTGGGACACTAGGCTAGACAGACAAGATGTGGGGCGAGGTGGACACACTTGAAGGGAGAGAGAGGCTGCAACTAGATTTAGACAGACTACAAAAGTGGGCAGATGAGAATAGGACGGGGTTCAACGCAGACACATGCAGGGTGCTGCACCTGGGGAGAAGGAGTCCACAGCATACATACAGGCTGGGAGTTCCCCTCTTGAAAGCACAGGGGCGGAAAGGGATCTCGGAGTCATTATTGACTCCCAGATGAACATGAGCCGCCAATGCCAGACCGCAGCCAGCAAGACCTTGTCGTGCATCCACAGGTGCATCTTGAGCCAGTCCAGAGAGGTGATCCTCCCCCTCTATGTGACACTGGTCAGGCCGCAGGTGGAGTACTGCATCCAGTACTGGGCGCTGCACTTCAGGAGGGATGTGGCCAGCCTGGAGAGGGTCCAGAGGAGGCCACCTGTTTTGGTGAGAGGGCCGCAGGACAGGCCCTGCAAGGAGAGACTGAAGGACCTGAACCTGTTCAGCCTCAGCAAGAGGAGGCTGAGGGGGGACCTGGTGGCTGCCTACAAGCTCATCAGGGGAGATCATCACCAAATAGGCAGAGCCCTTTTCTCCCCAGCACCACCTGGGGTGACGAGGAACAATGGTCATGAGCTGATGGAGAATAGGTTTCGGTTGGAGATCAGAAGGCAATATTTTACAGTTAGGGTGGCCAAAATCTAGAACCAACTTCCCAGGGAAGTGGTTCTCGCCCCGACCTTACACATATTCAAGAGGAGGTTGGATGATCACCTGTCTGGGGTCTTGAGAACCCAGCATCCATTCCTGCCTGTGGCAGGTGTCAGGTTAGGTGATCTGTTCAGGTCCCTCCTGACCCGAGCTACTAGGATACTATGACAAATGGCTCCAATGCACTGGGGCATGGGGTAGATCCCCAGGTCCTCCCATGGCAGGGAGGCTACAAGAGGACCAAACAGGGAAAAAAGGGGGACAGTGGTTTGAACTCCAGCCGCCGGGCTGCTTTGGGAGCCAGTGGGAGAAACAAGCTGCAAGTGGGGAGGGAGAGGGGGGGAGGCGCATGTTTTTGCCTGGGGCCAGGGTGGAGCGAGAAGGGGAAAGAAGCTGCTCCTTGACTTGCTCTGACAACAAGGAGGAGAGGCCCTGGGGAGACTGCAGAGGAGCCCGGCCTGACTGCAGCTGGGAGAGGAACAGCTTCGCCACAGAGAAGACCCAAGAGCAGAGAGAAACCAACGGCCGACACAGAACCGGACCCGAGTGAGTTGTTCTCATAACACTGCAGACGGCGGCGTGACGGCGGCGCGACGGCGGCGCTGCGAAGGGCGACCGCTGGGCAGCACTGCCTGCCCGAGGCAGAGCCTCAAACCCAGAGCCTCGCACTTGGGAGGCTGCGAGCCCAAAGGGGGGAGGGGGAGCCGGGCTATGGCGGGGGGGGCAGCACGGCCGCCCCCGGCTCCAGCCGGGCCTCACTCACCTCTTGGTGCCCAGGACCTGCCCGCCCAGCTTGATCTTCAGCTTGAGCTGGGGCTGGGGACGTGCAAGAGGCTGCAGGCCCAGCACGAGCACACACGCGGGCACACGTGCGCCTGCACACGCAGATGCTGCCAGCCAGCCGAGTTGGGTGCTGGAGGGACTGGGCTGCCCCCTGCTTTTGCCCTTGGGACTCGGGTGCCCTGCACCAGCTGTGCCACCGCGTTCTTGCACGACCTCAGTCAAGTCCCTTCATCTTGGCCTCCCCTCTGCAGGGGAGCTCGTTCCGCTCCGCCCATGTCCCTGGGGTGCCTGGGCCGGGCCGGGCCGGGCCGGGAAGCAGCAGGAAGCAATGTCTGCAAGAGGAGCCAGGCGGAGGCTAGCATGGGAGGGGCGGTGCTGAGAGCCCTCCCGTGGGGCAGGGGGGTTGGGGGGTTTTCTGTGGAGGGGAAGTGGGTGATGTCGCTGTGAAGCTTCGTGTCTCCCGGGCTCAGGCACCTGATGACAGCACGGGAAGGACGCCCCAAGGGAGGGCACGCGCCTGTGGCCCGGAAGACCCAAGTCTCTGCCACTGCAGCCTGTTTGGCCTTGGCCATGTCCTGCTGCTCCTCTGTGCCCTGGCTGCCTGTGACCGTGGTGCAGCCTGGCCTCAGCGGGAGGATGAAGACATTTAAAAGGCCACAGGGCCACGTGTTCAAAGACCAAGGCAGTAGCTAGGAGAGGCGACGCGCTGCCAGAGCTGGGGCAGTGGCTCCGCCCATGTCTAGGGGCTGTTCTGGCCAGGCATCATCCTGCAGGTGCCCAGGGTGCGGGAAGCATGGCCCCAGCAGTGCCCTGCCCTTGCAGGCACCGATGCTCACGGGTCCCGGGAAGCAGCTCCTGCCCCACGCCAGAGGAAGGCAAAGCTCCTGTCCGTGCCAGGCTGCTCGGAGGCCACTGAGGAGTGTTGCCCCGAGCCTCCGGGTTCGCCAGCCCCGGCAGGAGCAGCAGGCTCTTGCACCCAGGTCCCTGCCTTGTGCCGTCTGCACCCGCGCTCACTGCTGGCCCTCCTGACCCGGAAGCAGCAGAGGCAGGTGAGTGTTGGGCAGCTGCAGTGCAGGAGGCAGCAGTGACTCCCGGCTGCTCTTGGCAGGGGCATGCGGCCAGGGCAGCAGCTGCTGGAGTCTTATGCCCCCCAAGGCGTGGGCACCCGGGGCTGCTGGCCTGGGGCTTCTGCACCCTAGTGCCATTTCAAAGGTTAAATGAGTCCTAGAACAGTCCCTCTGGACCTGCCCCAGCCGGAGCCTGGATCCCGAGGGAGGGTCTCAGCAGCTTTGCTTGGACATAGTGGAGCAGAGTTCCCTGCATTGCTGTCCCCCACGCAGCCCATCGCAGTGGCCCCATCCTAGCCCCACAGCTGGGGGTGGGGGGCAATGTGGCTTCCCGTGGTCAGAGAACCAGAGCGCCCCAGTCTCAGGACCTGGCACTCCCGGGAGGCTGCGATCTGGGCTCTGCCGGGCAGAGCACGGCTGGTCTGTGGGTCCTCGGAGCGAACAGGGATGGTGCGTTCCCATCTCAGCAGGGCCTGGGGAGATCCATTCTGGAGCCGGCAGGAGCAGCAGAGCCAGCGGCTGCCCGCTCAGCGGAGTCCCGCAGGCCGCCAGAATCCCTGGCTGTGTAGCAGAAAGCCCCCTTTTCCTCTTGCTTGCATTTGCTCTCCCCTCTTTGAATGTGTTTTTCCTCTTCTACCTTTTCTTCCTTCCTCTTTCTTTCACCTTAAGATAAGGAATTGTGTTTTAAAATTTGTATGTGTGAATTTTGTATCTCCCCCTGTATTTCGGTATTTTTATCTATTTGTGTGCCATGGCATTACTTCTGTAGCTTATATTTATACTCCTCACGTTTAGTTTCAGAAGTAAGTTATACATTGTAACAATGTTAACAAGGGCAGGAGTCAAACTGTCCTTCTCTGTATCAGGCTGGCCCCTGAAAGAGCGAGTGAATCAGTGATTGAATGTGTAACATGGTAGCAAGCAGCAATTATCACCTGGAAGCTGCAGATCAACCAACGGAAGAACTCAATAGAAGACAATGTAACAACCGGGAAATCTCTAAACGTCACTGATGAAGGGCTAGAAGCCCTGGCCTGAGTTGATCAACTCCGGGGACCAACTTTTGGGCTGAATATCTCCAGATCAACCGCTCCCAGAGCCCTATTCAAAATTCATCAACGGACTCCCAAACCTGCACGTACATGCGGACAACCCCTGGGGCTGACAGATGCCGTCCAGTAGCCACCGAGGGGGGAAGTCCCACGAGGGTCAATGACCCCTGGATTGGGCAAACCTGAAAACTGGGGAGTCACCAAAGTCTGCCAGGGACAGATAAAAGGCAGTGAAAAGTGACCCTCAGGGGCGCCCTCTTGATCTCCAACTCGACCAGACCTGTCCAGCCAGAAGGACCAGCCGGCGACCCCCTTCTGGAGGATAACACCACGCTGGAAGAAGCCTCAACGACAGACTCCAGCGCTTGTAGGATAGGTATACCTGACTCTGTAGCCTGCTACTGTGTGCGTGTATGTGTGTGCATGTGTGTGTGTGTGGGGACCAGCCCCAAGGTTTATGATTTAACTCATTACATTGTTTCAATCTGCTTAATAAACTAGGATTTTAAGGATCCCGAGTTGGACATTTGTAGCCAACAGTTGAATACGGGGCTGGTCAAAACACAGGGACAAGGAGAATCACGGGCCAACGTCAGTGCCTGGAACAGGTCCCGTAACAACCAATCTCTGAGCATCTCGCAGACTCCTACAGACACAGGGTGACAGGGACCTCCATGGGCCGCATCCAGTTCAAGCCCTGCCTCGGGCAGGATCAGCCCTGTCCAAACCAGGCCAGACAAGCCCTGTGTCCAGCATGACAATCACCCCAACACAGCTCCACGCATCGCCCCCGCCCCTGCCCATGCCCCTGGGAGAGCAGGGGGGCTGCGGCCACCACGTCCTGCTGCTAGGAAATGTCAGTAAACGCTCAGGTCACAACGCGGGGTCTGGAGCAGGCACGGTCCAGACTAGACTCAGGAAGCCGAGGGCTGTAAGGGACTGAGACACGGGCGGTCACTGGGGTAGAGCCGCGAGCCGGGGGGTCAGGGACATGGGCACAAACGAGGCACAAGTGATCCCGAGCTGCTGCTGCTGCTGCTTTAGTCCTGTCGTCGTTAGAAGTAAACGGACGTCTCTTTCCGACTCATAAAACAAGATGGAGCCTTCCCGAGCCATGGGCGGTGCTTCCAATGTGTTGCTGGAAGCGATTTCCACCCCTGAGTTCATGTTCACCTCCCTTCTTGTTTGTCGCTAGAGGTGAAGCCAGTCTGCAGGGCGGCGGGATAGGAGCTCCGTGACCGGAGCAGCTCACAGGCTGCTGGCTGCAGAAGGAAGGTATAAGACGGTTAAAAAGGAATGAGGGCCGCTCACACATCTGGAATGAAGAGTTTAGCAGGAATCAGGGAGGTGACAGGGAGCAGTGAAGGCAAAGGGCTCCCTTTCCACTGCCTGGATAGAAACGCTGCTGCCATTGCGCGCACTTGGATTACAACTGGAATCCATTTAATTAATTTAATTTAATTAAGTGGAATGCATTTCAACTGGAGGCAAGGGGGAAAAGGGGTCACGGGCAAGAGACCCCACCACCAGGACCAGCTGCATTCACCTGGTCTAGAAAATCAGCTCCTTATCAGAGGCGGCTGCTGGGCGATAACCCTGAGATAACCCCCAGCCTCATCCTGTGTTTCCTCTTTCCCAGACACCAGGGATTTAGCACAGACAGTGGTTTTATGGCTCCTTGCAGGTGGTCTCTCCTCTGTCTTCTGACTGACTTTGGATTAACTCGGACACCTGCCTCCCTGATAGCTCCCCACTGCCAGCGCCACCGCCTGTCCCCAGGACTCTTCCCCTTCCTGTCACCTTCCAGCAGGCTGGGATGGCCCAGGAGACAGGCGGGAGGCCTGGCGTTCTGTGGTCTCCCCACCCCGCCTTTCGGCGCAGTGTGTCAGGGAGGCTTGAATCCTCCCCCCGAGGCGCTGGTGCTGCTGCAGCCCAGGCTGGGGCTGGGGCTGGGGCCGGGCTGCGCCAAGGCTCCTGCTGCACCGACCCCGCAGGGTCCCAGCTGGAGGGTCTTGCCCCCACGCTCAGGCTCAGCCCCACACTGCTCTGGGGCAGGAAGGGATTTCCCTCCTGCTCAGACTGGTCCAGACTGGGGGTTTTTGCCTTCCTCTACAGCTGGGGTACGGCCTAGGGCTGGGCTCTCTGCAGCGCCCACGACCCCCCTGGCAGCAGCGGGAAGTTGGCAGCCGCGGCCCGCCCCCCCCACCCCCATAGTTCCTCCTTGCTCCCGCAGCTCTCAGTCCCCTCCCCACATGACCCAAGCCCCCCAGGGCCATGCCAGCCTCACTCCCTGCCCCGGGCTGGAGCTGTGTGCACTGCAATGACAGACCTCCCTGCACATGCCCAGTGCTGCATGGGGTTCGTGCCCCTCCCAGTGTGCAGCGCGGTGCCCCCCCCCGCACCCCAGTCTCCTCCTGAGCCTCACCCGGCCCCTGCGGCGCTGGGTTTTCCTGGGAAGTCTCCCTCCCACGGCTGACTCAGCTAGACCTGGCTGGGACTCAACCAGGCAGCCTGGGTGTGGATGTGCAATGGCAGGAAGGCAGGAGCAGGGCTGGGGGTTGGACCCTGCTGGTCCCAGCCCCTGCAGCCAGGTGTGGGGTCCCCTCCCTGGGACTGGGCTCAAGCCTGACCTTCCCCAGGCCTCTGGGGGTGGAGGAGGCAGGAGGAACCACCCCAAGGCCAGGCCCCCTGCACCTAGCGCGGCTGATCCAGAGGCCTGCACGGGGCCACAGGGCTGGCTGGCGCAGCCCCAGGGGGTGCATCCTGCTGTGGGGAGCTGAGCCCTTCTGGAGCTGGCCCCTCGCTGTACTGGACTCAGCCCCCAGCGCCGTGAGCCCCTGCCCCCGCGGGGCACAGCACCAGGCCGGCTGGCGCTGGGAGTTGGGTTACGGTCCGGGAGACGCCGCAGCAGCTAAATCCGTCTGGCTGAGCCGGGCAGCGGCTAAGAGGGGGCATGATAAGAGCCCACAAGTATGTGACGGGCATGAGCAGCCCGGGGAGGGGGTGTGGAAACAGGCGTGTGTGTGTGTGTGTGCGCCAGCATGCCCTGTGTGTGCTCAAGGGCACATGCACTCATGTGTGGAGGTGGCCACGTGGCTGTGTGTGCAAGCATGTCTGTGCCCAGGTGCTAGCCCTTCTTCTGGGTCAGCCCCACCAGCGCCATCCTGCCTAGAGTGGGGGCCTGAGAGCCAGGCTGGGGGGAGCTGAGCTGGTCCCTGCTCCCCAAGACCCCCCGCCCCAGCACAGCCCTGCCATTGCCCTGCCCGTGTGCGGGCACATGGACACTTGTGCATGCACCTGAGCACAGGCACATGGACACGCATTTACACACCTGTGCACAGGCACACAGACACTTGTGCACACAGCTGTGCACAGGAACATGGACACTTGTACACATGCCTGTGCATGGGCACATGGACACTTTTACACACGCCTGTGCACAGGCATGTGGAC